GGGGGGGGGGGGGGTGCAGTTCGCTCGAGTGCAGAGAACATGACAAACATCCAACGAGGAGTGTTAGCGCTATTACCTGCTTAGGGCTGTCCGAAGAGATATCACGTCCCGCTTGAGCACCGCAAGGCTGTCCGACATTGCGCGGACATTCCTGGATGCTCCACTCAGAGCCTTGTCCCGCTGCTCCACCTCGGCACGCAGCTCCTCCTGCTTGCGGGAGAAGTCGCCCGCGATCGTCGACACCACTTCGTCGTGCGCGGCCAGCGGAACCATGCCCTACAAATGTGGGACGGTGGCGTAACAAGGAGGCGGGTTTTTTGTTGTCGTCGGGTCAGGGAGAGAGCGCTCTCGAACAGAAGCAAATTTTGATGCATGGAAAGCGGTTTGCGGCAAGAAACGATGCATCGCAAGCTTGCACGTACAGGGAGAGAACCGACGACGCCGAAACACGCCTACCCGATCTTTCTGTGGGGCCGGACCGTCACGCCACCGTTCACAAGTATTTTCCGGTGAGAAATATCGTTTGCAACTTCGAGCCCGTTGTGTTGACTTTCAGTCTATGGTTACCTCACATAGCGTGTAGAGGAAGCGAGGGTTCTGGACTATCTGTCGTTGATTTCTATTGACTTGGGGACCCTTCGAGTCCATTTTATTCGATAGCCTGTGACCACGGGATTCGACCGCGTCAACTGTTAGACTAGAGTGGACAGATGAATGCACTCGATAGAGAGATCGGAACGGTTACTAAGTGAAGACAACAACAAGCACACTACAAGCAGCAAGCGGTATTTGGTACATAGATCCTACACTGACATCCTGTAAAGTAGCCTAGATATATGCTCAACGGCCGTGGCGATGAAACAAGAAATACTTCGAAACCACAAAGCGACGTGTCTCAACTGCCAGACGCAAGGTGGATGTGCACACAGCAGCAGCTTACACAGCAGCGGCGACGTACTTCGTCGCAACGGTGACGGCTTGTTGGAATGCTAGAATAGAGGTAACTAATATTACGGGAATCGGGATCTTCAGGACTGGGTCGCTCACAGCGCAGCGGGGAAATTCGACCCCCTCTGAAAACAGTACGATAACTTCGCGCCCTCATAGCGCGCTCCCAGACGCACGCCCAGGCTCGCGCCTTCGCAAGGCGGCACCTGGTGGCCTAGCGAACAGAATGACCCATTGCGCGCGGTCTCGATTGTCACTGCTGGGTTGGAATCAGCGTCGTGAAAAGCGCGCCGAACCCCGCAGAACCGACGTCTTTCGTCTTTCGACAGCAAACCTGCACTTTCATTTGCTTCCGATCGCAAAAAAGTCTATTTCACCTCTGGTGAGGTTTGTTGCACGCGCAGCTTTCACGTTGTAGGTCGATCACAGGTAACGAGAGCAAGCGGTAACGAGAGCAAGCGCAACCTCAACGATGCCGCTCAACGAAGCTGGGGTGTAGCTGCTGCTGCTGCTGTGGGTTCTGGATCTTTACTTGGTTCAAAACTTCGACCAAACTTCGTTTTAGTCGCCTCAGCACACCCGCCCGACGCGAACACGCGCACACGCACACAATTCAACACAGCAGCCGCTCCCCTCCCAGTAGACATGAGTGCGCTGTCGAAGGCTTCGCCCCTGAAACGCAAGCCAGCTGAGAGTTCTAAATCCCCCTCCAAGCCCAAGACTACGCGAGAACCCGGCAACCCCCTGTGGTTTTGCCTCGACGCTCAAGGCTGCCCCGACGGTCGCCTCGCGGTCCGCACTAAGCGCGACGGCAAAACCTACACCACCTGCGACCAAAACGACTGGAAGGACCCTGCAACGTGCAAGGTGACGTGCTCGTTCCTCGCCCCCAGCAAGGATCACCCCCACAACTGCCACATCTGCCTGCAGGACGTCGGTGGCAAACCTTCCATCGGCATCCCAACGGACGAAGTCGACGACCGCGGGTACAAAGGTGAGCAGCAGAGTT